CAACATCACAAGTGGAGGGCTGTGAAGACGAAGCCATTTGTTACCTATTACTCTCTGAGCTCTTGTTAGTTGCTCTCCGCTTCACTTCCCTCCCAAACTTCAGTCAGTGGATCATTTTCAGAGCGACAGGATGGGATCGCAGACCGGGGCAGCTCTGCAGAAACAGACGCTCCTGTGGTTCATTGTAGGTGAGTCTCTCACAATGTGGTTGCTTTGGTGTGTGTAATGAAGACAGAGGAAGGTGGTTAAGCCAAACTATGACTTCTGTTTGGAAAATACCAGAAGACAAATCTTGAAGAAGACGTGAAGAAATAGGTTCCTCGTACTCATAATTAATTTGAAACAAATGAGTTTGGAGTACTTGTTATGTTTATGGAGGCTGAATAAACGAGTTCAATCACTCTCTTCACACCCAGACAAGAATGTGAGTTTTATATTCCATACAACTTTTAAAAAAAAATGCAGTGTTGTTTCAAGAGCTGGTGTGTTTGTGGTACTCAATAATCATATTAAAATGACCTTTAATTATTGTTTCCGCTGTGTAGACCAGTGGTTCTCAACCTGGGGTTCTTAAGAAGGTTCAGAGGAATATTTTAATTTAATTTTTAGCCCAATGAGAGAATGTATATGAATGACTATTCTGTTAATAAGTTTCCCGCTCTTCACTGTTTAATCTGCCAGTCTACAATATAGACAGTTATGCAATAACTAAATCTTAATCTTATCTGTCTGGGATCCCTGAGACTACATCTTATCAAATACAGGTCAGTGGCCTGATGTGTATCGATTTGAGGGTCCTTGGCACCTGAAAGGTTCAGAACCACTGGTGTAGACTACAAAATGCTTTTTTATATCTCACTTTATCATTATATTAATCACCTAACCTGTGGGTTTGTTATGATATGAAAACAGATTTATAATAGGATTAGTACCTGTCACCCTATGTGGTGAAGTGTAAACAGCATAATCTTTATTTAAAGTGGAGCATAGCAGTGCATCTGGGAAGTGGTTACTGTCAGGGAATAGTATGAAGGAGATCACATATGAGCACACTTACAATTACAATACAATTTATAATCATATCAAGAGGAAGCTTAATCTCTGTACTGTAACCCAGACAGGGATTTGTACAGCTGGGTATTGCTGTACAGTGGATCCGTTGTTTAAAATATATGTGGTAACTTTGTGTATTAATGGACCTTCTCTATGGTTTTGAGTATTAAACCAAAACAGTTTTTCTCAGAGTTTTTATTTCTCTGTATTGGAATGTGAAGACAACCTATCTAATTTGCAAACGACTGAATTTATTCGCCCACTCACTACATCGCTAACCCTATTAGTCAACTCTTTAATTATAATGATTGCTGTTTGTTCGCAGGTAGAAAGTCTGCCTTAACTACCCTGTTCACTTGTATTTTTTATTTATTTAATTCTGCTTACTGCTGCATGTTCACATGTAGAAAGATCAAAAAAGGCTCAAATTGAGGGTGAACTTCTTTTTCCATATAGAATACATTTTGGTGGCTGCACAACAATTAAAATCTGCTTGCTATGTCTCTTCAGTGTGCAGAACAAATAGGGAGGCTGAAAACAAAACATTAGATAGAAGATAACATTACACCTCTAATTTTTGCTGGGAAAATGGTGCTCTCTCAGCTAGATAACCAGATCCTGCAGTATTCAGTAAGTTAATCAGTTCGATTGGTGGGTGTAGGCTTCTCTAAATGTTAGATTATCTCATTGGAGTGGCTGTAATTTCTTTTTGCAACATTTGTGTAGTATTATCAGGTTGTGTTGTTTACTCGGTTGTAAAGGTGAAAACATATACTTAGCAGCTTCTGTCATTCAATCTAGGACAAAACAACATTAAATAATAATAAGTAAAATGAATATATTTGTTTGATGTTTTCAACACCCACCTGTTAGTTGGGGATGTGTTATCCAAGAGGGCTCCGTCTTAAATCCTACAAGAACAGAACCATTTGAGGAAAATATCATATCGTGTTTTTTCTGACTTGAATTACTATAAACGGGATACATTTTGCGGTGGCCCAGTGGTGAAGGCACAACATCTGAGCTTCACGTCTGGCTTAAGTCATCCCTCCTCTCCATCCTGTCTTCTCTCTACAGTGATGTGTAAGAAAGGCATAAAAAACCATAAGGGTCTAGGTAGTAACGTTTAGGAGGAGCTACTGGCAGAAATGGAATATAATATGCATAACTATGTTTTCATTTCAATCACCTGAAAATCATTATGTTTTTTTATCTTGGTATGAGCCTTTGTTGTCTACAGACGCTGCGGGTTGCCTTCCATGGAGTCCACCATGTTGAACCGGCATGTTTCTAGCCCAGAACAAACAAACCAAACATTGCTGTACATGTGCATTTCGTTTTCGTGGCCACGTTGTTTTGGGAGGGTAAAGGGAGCGTTTGCAATCGCAACTACATGCTAGATGCCTAAATCCTACACACTGGTCCTTTAAAACTAATACTGTTGTGCTTTTTCCAAAAAATCAGTTGCTCAAATTAAAAATAATCTTATTTAGTCTGTGCAAAATTATACCTATTTAGCTTACATTCAGGATTTTTAAATTAGTAAAGCTGTAAACCTTACTGTATGAAAAGTGTCTGTGTGGGCCTTGTTTTGTACTGAATAGAACAACCTGGCAATGGTCCAGCATGGTTAAATAATCTCTTGTTGATCACATTTATTATTTATATTATATTTATATTAATTATTATTTGATAAGCGGGGCTGGGTTATTATTTTGTGTCAGCATAAAGGTGTGTCTTTCAAACGAAGAGAAATGTCACACTTTTTGTCTGTTTAGCACCTGGCAGATTAGAAAACAAGGTCAGTCAGTGTTTGGTTTCATGTTGATCATCATAATGCTTTTTAATATTTTTTAAACTAGGAAAACTGTATTTGCCCAATGCACCACATTTCTGTCAAGCAGAAATGGTTAAATTTAGAAGAAATGCAGTGTAATTAAAATGTGTTTTGCAGTAACTGCAGTATATGTGAAGTATGTTTGAATTAAGAAGATTAAAGCTGCATTTCTTATGTGATGTGCGGTATTTTGACACATTTTATGTTAATCTTAGCTAAAGGGAGAATACATATTTTATTTTTAAGTTAAATATGCTTGCCTGTAGCACTTTATTATCGAGTTGAAAAGGTTAAAAAGTAGTAATCCATGATTGTGTATAAATAGCCATGTGAATTAATTGTAAGGCTATAAGGCTATAGTCATTTCTTTTTAGTTTTTCTTTTTATCTCCTACAGTGTGGTCACAACATGTTTATGGAGCATCCATGCTGTGTATCATCAATAAAGGTTTTATGAACAGTAATGCGACATGAAAATTAACAAAATATACCCGTGAATATTTTAACTGACCTGAACAAAGCTATTTGAATCAGGTGATATGTTATTTCCACGTCTAGTACACTGGATCCACTAATTAAGTAGATTTAATGAGAGTTTGACAGAGTGCTGGACATGGAGTTTCTGAAATGATTACATTTTCTTCATAATGCATTGCCATCATTACAAATGTATGATAAGCCTGCTCAACTGATAAAGCTGTGTAATGATGGAACATGTCCAGTCTCATCTGCCTCCTTTCCTGTCTCTTTCTCTGCTGAATACACATATATTTACAGCATTTGTAATTTTAGACACATGAAGACATTCAGCGGAGTTGGGTTCACTCCCCAACCTCTAACACTAAGGCCAACCACTAAATGCTTTACCCTCAGCTGAACTGTAATGTGAATCTCATTCCCTAACCCCAAACTAAGCATTTAACATTGCGGAGTCCAACAAAAATGTACTCAGTGTCCTGATTTTTGTTGTTTTGTAGTTATACTTGTTCTAGACGTCTCAATGTTTATAAAAAAAAAAAAAAGTGAACACACCTCTTCACAGTTTAAATGCATACTGGAAATACACCAAACTGCTGTATTCATGAATTCAGACTGTGACGCTGTCTACCAAAGGTGTTCAAGCAAGGTTCCTCTGCTCTTTGCTTTTTGTAGGTGTTATTTTTACAGAAAGAGGAAGTTATGACTCATCACAGCAGCACCAGGTTGTCTCATTACTGTTTCACCCCCCATTTAAAACATGAGTTTTGCTGTGAACATTTTTATTTTATATCCCAAGATTACTTAACAATTATCCCAATTCAGGCAGTTCATTTATACGTCTAGGACACTTTTATTCTGTCAGTCTTACAGGCACTTTTAAAGACTAACAGTGTACTTTAATCAATAGAGCACAGAGTTGATACAAATCAAAAGAACATCTACCACTGAAGTCATCAGCATCATTTGTGCCCTGACAGAAGCAGTTTGTTTTCTGGTAATTTTTTGGCCAATGAGTACAGAACGGATAAAGGGAAAGGAGTCTTCACTCTTTCTCATAGATATGAAGGGATTGGCACAGAGAGACACTTTAATCCTCTTTCCCTGACACCATCGTCTTTCATCTGACGGCTCAGGATTCAATTTGAATTCATTTGGAATATTTCACACACACAAGCGACTCACTAGACAGTAGTGAAATGACAAAAGGGAAATATTTTGAGGAACGTCTCAAGAGAAAACATCTGGCAATTCTGACAGTTTGACTGGAATGACTGAATATCCTGTAAGCAATCAAAATGGCTGAAGCAGTGTACTCCCAACAAAAGTGTGAGGCTCAGTGGGTCATAAGACAGTACTGTCTGGTAGGTACAGTACATTGCACGAGTAGGTGGCCTGTTACCTTTAATAAGTCTTGATTTTGGGCAAGCCTTTAATCAATTCTTCTTCCAAAATGAAAAAGTTATTAAAAGAAAAGCTCAAGTTAATTAATTTTCATTGGGTGGCTTCATGTAGAACAAAGCTTTTAAAAATCCAGCTGATTTAAAGGATAGTTTCAGATTCTTTTAAGTCTTTCTTAATAAAATACTTACATGCCTTTTGTACATCACTAGATATTGGCCAATGTAATCTTCCTTCCTGTCTAATCTGGCTATGAGGTGATCCCTAGACTGCAGCCATGTTAAGAGCATCTTTCCTGGCAGTTGTGTGTATTATTGGTGATAGTCAGGCAACAAACCAACATGTGAGAACCAGGACGTATCTCTCCGCCATTTTGTCGTAAAAATGGCTGTAACTTTGGGGAGATACCACTTGATTTGAC